TCAAAACAAACGTTCGCTTTTTCAAAAATTGCTTATTTCGCGAAAATTTTCATAAGAAACCGCCTTCTGCGCTCTAATAAAAAAATTTTCTTGAGAGATTTTACATATATCCTGCTAAAATATAACCCTAATATAAACGTTAATCCGATCATAATGAATTTTTCGACTATCACGTGACCCGTACATTTTTCGCCATGGCTAGGGTACTAATTATCTTAAGAAACACTGATCGTGTGTGTGTGATTAATTACGTAATATTACAATTCTTCGAGATTCAGCATCAGGTTTTTGCCCTCCGACATTCATATGAGTGTTGCCCAGGAGCTTCAATTATATAACATATCAGACCAAACCTTGAAAATTTTGACCGGTGGTATATAACGATAACACGCAATTGATCCTCAATGGCGTATATTATTATATAGTTGAAAGCCGAAGTCTTGGCAGCACTCATAATAAAACATATACATTCATCTCTATCGTCTATTGGACCATACAAAAAAAGCACCTAGTTTGGATAGTCATAATACATCAAATGATCCATGTTTAATGCCCGAATTTGTTGGTGTGTGTCCCAAACTACTGTGTGATGAATAGTATCACACGGTTTTGGCAAAAATAAATGCTTAATGTGATATTATTCATCACACGTAGTTTAGCCAAAATAGTTTGGACAACGTCGCTAGTGTCTGGGTCTACGTATTAATCTTGCACTAGAATGTATTACGGAATCGAGTTTAGCACATAATAAATACCATTTTTAACCTAGGTATCTGCGTATTATGAATTTCTTCCTATGTTTCTTGAACATTTATCTTGGTTGGCCAATTCTCACGTGTAGATCTACACAATTTGTCCAATCAATCGAACTTCTTCCAATGATGAATATCCGGATTTTTATTCTTTGACCGGGTAAGACCTTTAACCTCGATGTTGTCAAATTCTAATAAAACCTTAAAAAAAGGGAATCTTTCTGACATTTCTGACAGACCCTCTTCTTCTACTGCAACAAGAAAATCGTCAAAAAGTTCGACATCAACCAATGATACAACAGCAAATGAATCTTATTCAGGTTTATCGCCTGAAACTCAAAACATTATAAACTCATTAAAATCAACAGAGAAGAAAAAAACAAATGTCTCACGCACTATGATAGAAGAAATTTTGAGAGAAGCCAGACTAAAGGCTGCTGCTCGTACTATTGAAAATAACCCTTCATCAGCTTCAACGAAAAAGTTGGATACTTCTCGTTTGGCAAACACTAAATCTTCTGTTGGAAATACATTAGAGAATAAATATGGTTTTAATACATTATCCACTTCAAATCATGATGAAAAAAAATCGCAACTAGATCAAAATCAAGATTCATTCTCTAAAGATGAAGTAACTGAAAATTCTAAAGCGCAGTCAACAAATCGAACATATTCACGTTTATTCCCAACTCGTTTGGCAAACTTAATAGGGATTAATACCGGGGAATCTACTACAATAGACTCATCAAAAACAGAAACAAAACTTGAATCTACCGCCACAACAGATGATGTTATTATACAAACAGGAAATAGTACTAATCATGTGACTGGTATAGATACTTCTCGAAATATCAGTCAAATTAATGATGATAATAAATTCTCTCAAACTACAGACGAAAACAATGTATCTAAATCTGCATCGTCTAATGAGCCTGAACGTTCAAAACAGGGATCTAACATAAGTGTTGATACAAATTTAGGTAGAGTTCCTCGAAAAGAACAAAGATATGTAGTAAGATCTACATCTTCACCTCGTTTTACGAAGAAACGTGGTATAGTTATTCGTCGCTCAAGTGCCAAGATTGTGCCAAAACATGGATCCGAGACATCGGAAGATTATCAACGTGCACCAAAAACACCGGTCAAAACAGTAGAGATATCTAGCGAACTGGACGAATTAGGTTCCCAATTTCAAGAAACTCTTACCGAATTTTCTAAAAGATACCAAGATTCAACTGTTGCACTTGCTGAAAAATCTTACCTTTTGAAGAGAAATCAAGAATTATGGCACACTGTAGCTGCAAAAGAGGAAGAAATAGAATATCTTAAAAATGAATTATGGCAAGCTGGAACCAAAATTCAAGATTATGAATCTGATCTTAAAGAAATTATCGAACAACAACAAGAACCTCTTACACTCACTCAAGAAGACTTAATACGTATCGAAAGGGAAATAGATGATCAAGAAGTTTTAATTAGCGGATATCAAAGAGAAAACGACAAACTGGTTGGTGAGATAAAGAATTTGACTGAAAGACTGCGAGTCACCGAAGAAGAACGAGAAAATCACTACAATAAAATTAATGAGTTATATAAAGAAATTGAACAATTGAAGGGATCTCTGCATGAACAAGAGACTAAGGAATTAGTTCCAGATGGCACTTTGCGACAAATCGAAGATATGAAAAAAGAAATTGAACGGTTAAAAGAAAAGGAAATATCCTATGAGTATAAGGAACTTGCTTTGAAGGAAATGGATGGATTAAAAAAAGAATTGAGCGCACTTAGAGATATAGAGAGTGAATATATGATCAAAGTTCACGATTTGGAGCATCAATTGGCTTCAGCCAATGAAAAAATTGAAGAGATCACACAATCTAAAACAGAGTCATTGGAAAAATTTACCGAAGAGATGAACCTAATGAAATATAAGTACGAATCACAAATTGAGAACGTGAAAAAAGAGTTAATTTCAAAAGAAGGGAAAGAAACTCGCTTCCGTAAACTTCAAAATGCCCTCGAGAAAATTGAAACC